CATGGACTTCTCACCGCCACGGTTTAGAGTTAGACATCTCTGTGCACTAAGGACATAGACAGCAAAAGAAAAGGGGCAGGAGGCAAAGCCACTTGTGCATAACAGTGGCTCCATTTTGTTAGCCTGCCTGGTGTCTGCTATTTCTTAGTATAACACAGTCCTTACAGGAAAAAATAACTAAAACTTCAAAATGATTGCTTGGTTAAATAATACAGTCCTGTAAATGACCCCTCTCCTCTGATCCAAGCCTGGTGTCCACTTAATGAACCCAGCTTAGGAGAAGGGATTATTGGTGGCTCAGGGGAGACTGCTGCCACAAGCAATGCCTCATTGCAGATGGTGCAGCTATAATACGATTGCTCCAAGCTAGCCCCATGTTTACACCTGCCTGGGACTGCCCAGGCCCTGGAGCCCACTCGGGACGTCCCTGGCCCCATCTGCAGGTGGCCAGTTCTTTCTCAAGTGCACACTCTCTCCTGTTTCTCTGCACTTGGTGATAACAAGTGAGATACGGTAGCAGGGTCCTTCTCCCCCTCACATCTCCTGTGTCTTCTCTCCAAAAGTCACCTTAAGATCATGAGCAGGTCATGAGGAGTGATTTAAAGGATCTCCAGTGTTTCTGACTTTTTTCTAGTTAGGAAATTGGTGAAAAATCTTTAGCTCTTGTAATACTTTTGCCAGTTTGGTTTACAGAAGAAATTAGATTTTTTTCTACAGCATTTGTGTGGAGGATTTACTTTTGAGGAAATTTACTTTTCAGATCAAAACACCTGTTAGTGATCTGGTAGTAACTCCAAGAAAAGATTTTTGCCTGGTTTTGCTTCTGATCTTGTGTGTGACCTTGGGAAAATAACTTGATGTCACTACACGCCATTGTATTAACCATGTGGTTCTGATGCTTTGATATTTTTGGAGCCTTGCTACCCCAGAGACTGCCCTTCCCAGGGCTACCTAATCCCTGGAGAGAGTAAAGAACTCCCTGGAAAACTTGCTTTTCATATGCAAACCAACCAATCCAAAGCAACACCCCAACCATCTCTTTGATCAGGCTCTTAGGCTTCGGGGCCACTACCCACCTACACTGATCATCCCAGGGCCAAACACCAGGTCAGGGCGGGACAGCGCCTATGCCCAGTGCCTATGCCCCTGAAATTATTCAAACAGTCCAGTCCTCATTAACCTGCTTGCCCTGCTTCACCTGCCCCTTCCCACAGAAACAACAAAAAGGCTCCTGTCCACACTTTCTTCTTGTGCCCCTGCTTTCTGAACATCTGGCTCTTCTGCTCACTCCCTCCTCGTGGGAACTGTGAGTAATGAACTCTTTCCGGTGGTGCCCATCAGCTAAGCTGTTGGCCCTGCCATACCTGAATAATAATAAAACCTTCATTTACAAACTCCTACTGAAAGAATAAACCCGGGGCTGGGCAGTGACAATATTGTGAAGCCCTCTGGGCTTCATGAAGACCTAGGGCAGAGGCAGCCAGAATTTCTGCTGCATCTTAGCCCTAGTAACTTCCCTAAATTGGTTCCTCACTGAAACTTCTGAGAAAAAGAATGCCATCTCGTGGTATTTTATGGCCTCTTAGGCCATTTCTTTTTCTTTAAAACAATTGTAATTTTATTTTAGGTCTACAGCTAAGTTGAGCAGACAGTACAGAGATTTCCCATAGACCCCTGCTCTGCAAATGCACAACCTCCCCTACAGCCCTCATCCATCACCAAAGTCAGACATCTGGCACAGTGGGTGGACTTAACATTGATACATCATTATCAGCCAGAGTCCCTGGTCTACATTAGCGTTTACTCTTTGTATTGCACATTCTCTGGGTTTGGAAAATGTGTAGGGACACGTATCCACCATTGTAGTATCAGACAGAATAGTTTCATTGCCCTAAAAATCCTCTGTACTCTCTCTATTCACTCTTCCTTTCTTGAGCCCCTGCAACTACTCATCTTCTTACTGCCTCTGTGCTTTTATTTATTTATTTATTTATTTATTTATTTATTTATTTTTATTTTTGTAGCCATATCTACTCGTATTTATTTGACTGCCCATTTTGTGCTGGGTACATGACGACGAATGATCAACCTTCCTACTTCAGAGAAGAGGTGCAGGTAGAGATAGAAAAAAATCAAGTAGGCAAGTAATATAAAATAATTACAATATAGTTGGAAAAGATGCTGAGAGAGAATGGGAGCAAGGCTGGCTCATACAGAGTGCAGAGGGGCCACGTAAACTAAGACATCCAGGATGAAAAGAAGTGGACAGAAGATACTAAGTAGAGACTCAGAATGTGGAAAATCCCAGAGGTAGGAAAGAATGGGATGTATTGGAGGATCTGAGAGCTCCATGAGGGTCTCAGGGTGTGGAGGTTGTGAGGTAATGTTAGACCAGCAGGAGCTTGGTCCTGCTGGCCTGGTAGGTCCTGAAGAGAAATTGAGATTTTACTCTTTTTGCAGTAGAAAGCTCCTGAAGGCTTTGCCCTGGGGAACAACATAATCTGGTAGATGTTTTAAAAAGCCTACATTTGAAGCTAACATTTTAGCCGTTGCTTTAACATTTATTCTTTTCCCCTCTACAATTTTCTTCCTGAACCATTTGGAAAAAAAGTTACATCTATCATGACTAAATACTTCAGCTTGTTTTTATGAAATTTATTTTCTTATATAGCTTTTGAGCAATTATCAGCATCATACATTTACATCAACAATGCTTTTACCTAAAATACCATCCATATTCCAATTTTGTTGGCTAAACTAGTAAGGCTTTTTCTACCATTAGGATCAAATTTAGAGTCAAATATTGCACTTGTCACGACTCTTTAGCTTTTGTTGTTACCTTGAATCTGCAGCATTTCTACAGATTTTGCATTGTATCATAGCATTTTTGAAGAATACAGTTTCTCCTCTGAGCTATTTTTTAAAAAAAGTATCACATCTGTGTTTGTATGAAATTTCTTTGTGATTAGATTGGGTTATGCATTCTAGGTGTGACTTCTGTACAGGGAATGTTACGCTTTCCTCAGAATATCACATCTGGAGGTCCATGATCCCACTGGTTGCTCGTAGATAGTTAATTTTGATCACTTGGTCAAAGTGTTGCCTGATTTCTCCACTGCATAATTACTTTTTGTTTTCTCCCTTGCAGCTTAGTCACAGTCTACAGGCAGATATTTTATAACCATGCAAGATTCCTGCTGCTTTTCAACACCGTCCCCTAGGTTGAACAAGATAATTCTCGCTTAATTTCGCCTTTAGTCTGAAGGTGGAAGAGTGATTCCATATTTACCTCTGCACTTCACATTTAGTCCTTGGCATTAGACCATAAGCTGAGCTCTTGCTTCCCTCCTTGTTTCATCTATTATTGGTGTCGAGTCATGAGCTCCTATGTTTTTCAATGGTTATATTTTATTTCTATACTTAATTATTTTTAGTGTTCAAATGGTACATTTGGCCAGTGAGAACTCCTTCAAGATGGCTCCTGTGTCCTGTGATGTTACCATGTTTATGGGGAGCCCTTTCTCTTTTTTTTTGTTTTTGTTTTGTTTTGTTTGGTAACGAGGATCGAACTCGGGACCTTGCGCTGGCGAGGCAGGTGGCAGAACCACTGAGCTAAATCCCCAGTCCCGGGGAGCCCTTTCTTAATTTCCAGCAAAACCAAGCTGTGACAGGCTTGTCTTGGCACATGCTCCAGCCCTGGGATAGGCCTTTCTCCCACAAGTCCTGGTTCCTTTAGTAAGAAAAGATACTAGGGATCAAGACTATGATGCTAGGTGTCCTTGTTGCTCCTACATATCTTTGTTGTTGACCCTTTCAGCATCTAGCATTAGGGAATATATGCGTGTGTATGCACACATATAAATGCATGCATATACTCACACATGCATACAAATATGTGGACATAAACAAGCACATTCACATACGTTTTATAAATCATGAGTTTATACTGATCCCTTTAATTTCAAACTGTTCCCTATTTCTTGCTTTGCCTGATTCCATATTTGTATCTTTCTTCTACAATGAGAACCATAGATCCAATGTCAACCCATCTGCTCTTGCTCAGTCATATGGCAGCACATCAAGAGTAGTTTCTGAACTCTTTCTCCCTTACCTTGCGATAAGCAGACCTTCTGCAGAAGCGCTTTGTGTTTCTCCTTTCAACAAGGACTTCTTTAACAGATGGTTTTTAAATTTCCATGTGAAAGGTTATGGAACCTCCTCCTGGGGCTGTTGGTGATTCCAGTTAATTAGTTTATTTTCCTCAGCTCTTTCCACACTAATTCTGCTCCTGGAATGGTACTTAACTACCTTTCCACCTGTCTGACATCACCCAACCTTTATTTTCCAGAACAATCTCTTCCAACCACTCTAGTCCAAGGTAAACTCTCCCGTTTTGGAATTCTTATGGCATTTATTACCTGTAACCCGTCATCTGACATCCTCAGTTAAGTTTTATCAGGTTCAAAAAGTACCATAGTAGGGAAAGGGGGAAAAAGAATAGGAGGGGAAAATGGAAACAAAGCTTATAAAGAGGGGACGAAAGGTTGGAGGGAGGGAGGGGAATGGGGAAAAGAAGAAGAATTAAGATCTATCATGTACAGGTAAAAATTCCCTATGATGAATGGGAACGTCATGTACATCAAAAGTGTATCAATAAAATTAATCCCTAAAAAGGTACCATGGTGTCAGTTCATAGATCCCGGCATCAGATTGGCTGAGCTTGAATCCCAGCTCTTTCATGCAGGGGCTGTGTGACATTTGGTCAGGCGACAGGAGCTCTGTGACTCAATTCCCCAGCTATGTAAGGAGGTGATAGCTTCGACAGAGTAATGGAGACTGCACGTTGCACCGGTGCACACCGCTGAGGGCAGCCCATTCAGCGGCCCCGTCTCCACCACCCAGGTCCAGGCCGCTGCCTCTGGCCTCACCTCCTGCCGCGAGCACAACTGCGGCCCCGCCCCTCTCCCCGCCCCGCCGCCTGCCATCTCTGAACCGAGTCGCGCGCGACGCTGCCGCTGACCCCGCGGGGCGCGGGCGCCTGAGGGCCTCGGGACTATGGCGGCCGAGGCCGTGGCTTCGCGCCTGGAGCGGCAGGAGGAGGACATTCGCCAGCTATGGGCGGAGGTCCAGCGCTTGCGGGACGAGCAGCTGAGCGCGGCCGACCCGTGCCGGGCCGCGGGGCCGAGCCTCACGCGCGAGGTGGCGCAGCTGCGGGCCGAGAACCGCGACCTGCGCCAGCGCCTGGGCCGCCTGCGGCTGAACCTGGCCGAGTCGCTGAGCCGCCGGGCCTGGCTGGGGAGCGCGACGCCGGGGGAGACCGGGCGCGCGGCCGCGGGAGCGCAGGTAACGGCGCGGGGCTCTGGGCGGGCACGCGGCGGGCTCGCGCCCCTGGACCCCGGCCACCGCGGGCCCGACGGTGCGCGTGCAGCGCGTGCCCCAGAGCTCGGCTCTGCACCCTGCTGTGGGTGCGGGGCTGGGGCTGCCGGGCCGGACGTCTGCCTGCCTCCCGCCTGCCTGCCGCGCCTGTGCCGCCCTTTGCCGCCCTTTGCCGCCCTTTGCCGCCCTTTGCCGCCCTTTGCCGCCCTTTGCCCAGCCGGGCACCCAGCCCTGCAGTCAGTGTCCTGCCCCGTGTCCTGCCCCGTCCCACTGAGGTTTGGGAACAGCCGCAGCAATCGCCAAGTCGACCTAAGGTGCTCACACACTTTTCCAGGAGATAACCTGCTGCAGAAGTGGCATTTTCATTTGTGTGGGGAAAAAAAACTTTAGTATTTAGGATTCCTTATTCTTTTCTTGGCCAGAAATACCAACAGCTACTATTCCCTCTAACGGCTGGTACTAAGGTATTCTGGACAGGTGCTTTTGCTTATTTTTTGTTTGTTTTGGTGGTCTGTCTTGAGAGGAAATCTGTATATTTAGCGTTATTTAATACAGTATTTTAATATTTTAAATCATTAAGGGACATGGCATCTTCCTGTAAAATAGTAAGCTTTGTAAGACCTGAAGACGTTTTCAGACTGGCATGTTCAGTTTTTGGCCAAGGGGTAACTGGGCACCAGCAACATCTTTGTGAAGTTGGGCATCCAAAGTGTCTGATGGCAGTCACGCCTTTCCCAGTGATATTATCTGTTAAAGTGTCGTGGGGAGATTTTTAAAAGATGAGTGTGCTTAGCCAGGAGTGTGAAATGCACAGGCAAGGAGGACAGAACCCTGGAAAGTGACTTTCTTGCCGGTGGAGGGTGATAGGTGGTGGACAGCCCCACTCTTCACTGTAAGCTTAGGGTGCATGCGGACTGCTGGCTGTGCCCCTCCTTCCTCAGGTTCCAGATGTATTGCTCTTAGTTGCCATTGATTGGTGTGAGTGGTTTACAATGTATTTTTCAGCCTCCTCCTGGTCAAGGGCAAGAAAAGGACTCTAAAAAGAAAAAATTGAAAGAAAATGGGCTTGACAGTGGGGTAAGTCATTGCTATGGAAATAATATAAAATACCATCTGTAGTTTTAAAAGTGCATACAGAAGATCTTTGATAAACACAATTACTGATTTAATTATTACCTGTGGCACACCATATTTAAAACCTTCCAAGCCTTGGATATATCTTAATGTAGACATGAGTTAGCCACACAGCTCTTAAAGTGCTCTGTAGTCTATTTAATTGACATAGCAAGGCTCTTCTTTTGTGTTCTGAAAATGAGCTACACTGTGTTTTAAGTATAAATCATTAAAACAACCAGAAAGTATTATCTGAGCATCAACATTAGATAGGAACAGGGGAGTAATATGTGGCCTCAAAGGGCTCAGTCTGGCTCTTGCTGAGGAGTTCAGACAAATGCAGGGAAGACAAGGACGGGATGAAGTTAGGTGGTGCGGAGGCTCTTTGTATCTTCAGGGTCCACATTCACAGAGTCAACTGGGTTGAAAATGGGGAAAAAACCGCTTCTGTAATAAACATGTGCAGCCTTTTTGGATCATTATTCCCTAAATAACACAATGTTACAAGTATTTATGTGGTATTTAGATTGTATTGAGTATTTTAAGTAATCTGGTGATAATAAAGTATACAGAAAGATTACATAAATTAATATCCAAATACTATGCCATTTTATTTAAGGGATTTGATCATCCTCAGATTTTGGTGTCCATAGTAATGAAGTTCCCATGGATATGGAGTGATACTGTATATAAAAATGCCATATTGTGTGATTCTTCATACATATGCAGTAAACAGTAGAGAAGGGAGATGCCCAGTGGTGTTAGTCAGAGGAGGTGCGCTTTGAGCTGGGTTCCTAGCAGTAGCAAGGAGTTAGTGGAGAGGAGTCTTCAGGAGGGGAAGACATAGTTTCCAAGGTCATGTCCTCATGGCCACCTAGACACACACTCACCTAGAAGCATGCTTTACTAATCTCTTTGCATCTCCCTCACCAACCAGGTTGACAAGATTAACTGTCACATTCATCAGTGTATGTATGCTGAGAAGGCATTGAGGGCCGGAACTGATTTAGAGCTGAGGAGTTGGCAGTAAAGTGGGCTGTGTATGTGAACTTCATTGTATTCTAACGATTTTCAGGTGAAACAACCAACTTTCATGAAAGAAAGATTGAAACTATTTGAAACACTGAAGAAAGATCAGCACTTGCTTTCTGTTTATGAAGAAAAGGAGAATACAAGCAATGTGATCACAGTGAGCATGGCTGATGGGAAAACACTGGAAGGAGAAGTTTGGAAAACAACACCTTATGAAGTGGCTGCTGAGATTAGGTAAAACATACACACTAACACACACACACACACACATATATGTAGAGAGAGAGAGAGAGTTTGGAGACAGTAGTATTAAGTAATTATAGTAGAGCCTGGTAAAAATGATTTCTTAGCCAAAATATTTTTTTGTTGTTCCGTTAAGTTAAATGTAATGAATTTTTCCCTCTGCCTTCTAATAAAAGCCATTTAAATAAGTAATGTAATATCAGAGAACAATATCTTCCACTTTAAAAGGTCCAAAATTTAAAGTTCTAATAAAAATATGTAGTGGGAGAAAAAGCAGTACTCCTTTACAGGCCACATTACTGGACTGACTTTATTCATTGTGTTGGTCAGCTTTCCCATTGCTGAGACATAATGCCTGACACCTGCAACTTAAAGGAGGAGGGGTTTATTTGGCTCACGATTTCAGAGGTTTTGGTCCATGGTCTGCTGGCTCCAGGGCAGAAACATGCTGGAAGGGTGTGGTGAAGCACAGCTGCTTGGTTCATAGTGGCCAGGAAGCAAAGCAGGGGAACAGCACAAGAGATGAAGGAGGCCAGGGACCAGATACAGTCTCCAAGATCATGACCTCCTGGCCCACCGAGACACACCCAGAAGTATGCGTTACTAATCTCTGTGCAGCTTCCATGACAACCAATTTGATAATTAAGCTTAACTAGTACATTCATCAATCAAGTATTTTTCATGAATTTATATAGGTCTTTAATTATAGATTGAAGATGTAAGTGTCAAAGCTATTATCAATTCTAGAATAGTACTTTGACCTTTCTGGAAATTAGATACATTAGTGAAGTTACGATGTTTTTATTAACATTAATTTCTAGCATCAGATACAATTACATTATATGGAAGCATTAGCTCAAAACTCCAAGTAAATAAACTTACTTAAAAAGAAAACTGTTTCAACAGTTGAAGTTCTCAGGTTTCTTTTGAAAAATATGGATAAAGTTGTATTTCTGTTTCATCCTGTGATATCATGTACTCTAAAGGTCTTCCCAACATGTTTCCATGTTTTCCAGGAGTGATGATGTGGGAGTTTAAAATGACTTTTGAAGTCAACATAAGTTTACATTTTCTCTCAGGGTGTCAGGCTGCCTGAAAAGTGTCGCTGGACACTGGTTCCCAAAGTGTGCTTCCCAGGCCAGCAGAATCAGAATCACTTGAGAACCTGTTAAAAAACCAGATTCTTGGACCTGATCTCAAACTTCTTGGTTCAGTCAGCTATCTTTTTATGAGCCCTCCAGGGCTTCTGATGCAAGCTAAAGTTTAAGAGCCACTGAATTAGGCTAAACTACTTTAGCAGAGATCCCTAAAGACAGTAGCTTGAGTAAGACAGATGTCAGATTATCTCACACAACTGTCTCAAAGTGGCCAGTAGAGGCTGGTGGACATCTCTGGTCCATGCAGTCATTTATGGACCCAGGATCTGTCCTGGCGATCTGCCATCCCCTAGGTAGGGCTTGTTCATGTCTAGAAGTGGAGGCCAGTTTCCATCTGTGGACCTGCCTGCAGACGGGAAAGGAAGGCTGAAGAAGAGTGATGTTTTGAGGTTGAATTGTCAGAGTAGCATACTTCCGTTTCTACCTCTGTCCTCTTAGCTTACATTTAGTCATACACCACACCTAGCTATAAGAGAGAATGGAAATACAGCTTCTACAGGCCAGCATGTGTCCCACCGAAGCATTCTTAACCACAGAAGAGAAGAAGAATGGTTTAGGGGACAGTGAGCAATCTGTCCCAGCCCACCCCTCCCAACATCAGCTGCCTGTGCTTGCTCTTTTTTCAAATCTGACACTTACCCCTCCCAAGTGAGACAGTGTAAGGCACCATACATTGCTCAAAGCTCAAGTTTTCTAAGTGATGTGCAGAACACCCCATGCCCAGTGTGAAGCAGGCTGGCTGCTGCATCCCAACAACAAATAAACTCACAGACAAGTCTGCTCACACCACAGTGTATACAGCAGGTGCAAGGCGATCACAATTAAAGTCTCCATTTGGAGAAGGGGAGAAACATGGTAGACAGTGGTGTACAGAAAGCTTGGATCCTGCTCACAGCAATTGTGACGCCCATAGTTTGTGCTTGAGTCAGCCCATCTGGTCACCTTATATTCTCCGAAAGCAGCTCTTTTGTCCACGATAGCCCTCTAGGCCCTGAGTTTGTCTTTGGGAAGCTCATAGTGTTTCCCGCATCTAAAATGTAGGAAGGTTTGTCCTCTTGAGGACTGTACAGTGTGCACAGCCCATTTCTTGAAGGTGTACTCCTGGGGGCTCCAGGTCCTTTTAAAGGTCGATCATAGCTATTTGTAAGAGGGGCTTGTGGTGTGATTCGCAATGTGATTCCCTCAAACAGTTAATTGTAGTGTGGCTCTGGTCTGTTAGCTGCTAATCAGTCCCACATGAAAGTAATCTCCCTTAAAGACTCTGTGTAGACACAGACTCCTCACCCTTTTGTTGGATGGCTTTTGTGCTTGGTTTATTCCTCCTTCCCTCAATTGAATAGACTGAGGTCATATGAAACAACGACTTGTGGGAGGGCAGCACCCTCACTCTAATTCTTGCAGCTCCTCTGGCCCCTCTTGTGTGTCCTTAACAAACGGCCTTTGAGAAGGGGTGTCAGTGCCCAGCCCTCCTGCAGTGTGGGACGGAAGATTGTCTTTCCAATAAGCACAGTGCCACATATCTGGACTCCTAGTCAGTTTGAATTACAGACCACAGTGGGAGGAAACCTTCCTTGGCAAAGTCAGTCTCATCCCTCTCTGCTTGCGACTGAGATAATTTGCAGCTGAGCTTATCCCGTTCTGGAGTTATTTTGCTGAAAGCTGCGGGAGTTAGCCAGTGTACATTGACATCCTACCTTTTTGTATCTGGTTCCTCATGTGCTGCTGTAACACATGGTTTGTCTGCAAGTTTTTATCAAATATTTTGTAATACCATTAAAAGGGTATTGGCTATCTACATCTTAGGTATTATTTTTTTGCAACCCAGTGTCCCTCCACTAAGCCAGTGCACATATTTTATTACTTGCAGGGTAAGGGATTTAGCTCAGTGGTTTTGCTGCCTGCTGCGCAAGTGCAAGGACCTGAGTTTGATCCCTGGTACCAAAAAAAAATGTGTCATATTTTATTACTTGCAGGTCTTTATCACTGTATTAGTTAAGGTACTTAGATGCTTCAGCAAAGACACCACAAAAAACTCAGTGGCTTAACTATTGTCAGAGTCTCTTTCTCTTAAAGCAGTCTGGAGGTGAGTGGTCCAGGTTAGCAGGGCAGCACTTCTGCACCTGGTTATTTGGGGACCTAAATTCCTTCCGTGTAGTGACTGGGCCTCTTCAGTGTTGCCTTTGTCTTTACAGTCCAGGGCTAACAGCACGTATGTGTTCTGCTCCGCAGAAGATGGACAAAGTGGAGAAGTGTCCTCCACTGTTTTAAGGCTGAGACAGAGTCGCTGCACTCACTTCTGCTTATGTTCCTTGACACCTGTCCTGGTCACGTGGCCACATCTAGCTGAAAGGGAGGTTCAAAAATTAGTAGAGGAAGGGAAGAAGGCATTTGAGGGATACTTATCAGTCACAGTCAGCAAAATGAAAATTATTCTACTTCAGTAATAATATCTAGCATTAAGTTCTTAACATATATAATCATATTTAAACCTTGGTATACATGTGTAAGGAAGATCTTATAATCCCCATTTTATAGATGAGAATACTGAGGCTTAGAGAAGCTGAGTAATTTGTTCAGTTTAAAATCTAGGCCTTATGCCAGAGAATAGGCTCTTAGCCAGTGTTGTCCTACTACTCAGGCTAATCACAGAAATGCCAGTTAAAACATTACATTGTAGGGTGGGGGATTTAGCTCAGTGGTTCTGCTGCCTGCCTCAAAAGCAAAAGGACCTGAGTTCAATCCCTGGTACCAAGAAAATAAAACAAAACATTACATTGTAGAGAGGATCTAATTTCACAGCACTTAAAACTGAGAGCAGAGAGAGGATACTTCTGCACCTTTGCTACGAGGAGAATTTGGCAATATAATTCCAACATGAAGCATTAAAAATTCATGTCCCTTGATGTAGTACTTTTACTTCAAGAATTTTTCTTGAGAAAATAATTGAATACTGAGATGTTTGTTCAAGAATGTTGATTGCAACCTTGTAATCATCTAAAACAACAACAACACCCACAAGGAACCAAAATGCCCAGCAAGTCTTGGTTCCCTTAAAACAATTAAGTCATATTTTAGAAGTCTATTGCTAAGGAAAATGCTATGACTTAGTGTTGATTTTAAGAAATAGAATACAAAATACAGAATGATGCTATTAAGTTTGTTGTATTGGTGTGTATATCAGATGATGCAGAAAGATACAGAACAGAACAATAGCAGGAATTTCTGGGTGGTAGGATTGTGGGTGATCTTTTTTCTTTGTGATTTTCTGTATGGGTTTCTTCTCTTTCTATTTTTATTAATAATTTTCCAACAATAAATGTTACTTAGAAGATACACTGAAAACAGAAAAAGGTCAATACATTAATAGAAAATAGCCAAAGGAAATGGACCATTCTTCAAAATTAAAATTACTCATCAAAGAAACCAAAACAATAAATCTCAACATAACACTGACAAAGATTTAAAAAATCTTCCATGGTGTGAGGAAGTGCGCTCACGTGGTGTTGTCAGAAGTCATTGGTGCCCACTGACCTGACAGTCTCCACTCTGACAGACGCATTCACAGAAGAGGCAGAGTTGCCCGAGGCGCTGGGTGAGGGCAAAACCGCAGGAGGCCCGGGTGTGCCGAAGTGGAGGCATCCTTAGTGAGTGTGCCTCCGCTGTAGAAGTCTGTCTGCCCGACGGCATGGCAGTGGAAAAGGAGGCCAGAAAATTATGGTGGCAACCATGTCTTAAAAAGAGGAGGGACTGGTGCAGAAAAAAGACTGGGTAGTCATGTGCCACGATGTTCCGAGACATTTCTGGGTGCTGAGGTTTATGTGTGGTTTTAATTTTATTCATTGTGCTTTACTTTTCAAGATTTGTATAGTAAACATATATTTTATGTGTAAAATAATTGCTACGAGATAAAACTGTCCCATTAGCTTACATTTTAAATGGACAGTCTGTCCATTTTAAAGAAAAAAATCCCAGAAATTGTTTGAATCTTTTCTTCTAATAAAGAGTCACTGTAGCATGTGAGAAGGTTAACTCCCAAGTGGCTTTTCTCTTACTAGTCAGGAGCTGGCTGAAAACACAGTGATAGCCAAAGTGAATGGGGAACTGTGGGACCTGGACCGCCCGCTGGAAGGGGATTCCACACTCGAGCTACTCATGTTTGATAATGAGGAGGCTCAAGCTGTAAGTATTAAAAACCGGCCATCTAAGCTTTCAGTAGTTGTACTGTAAACCATATTTGGAAAAAGCCACATAGCAAAGTCAAGAATGGTGGATTTCTTTTGCCTTTTAAGATTTAAAATTACAAGTGGTGTTTAACAGATACTTAGTAAACTTTTGTAGAATGTACATATACAAATGTATGTATATGTTAAGGAGCCTATATTTATCATTGCTTAAAGCTATTATTTCTTTAAGTTAGAATGCCTTAGCTGTTAAATCAGTGTTTGTTTAAAAATGCATCTACTTTACAACATTGTATGTATAGAATTGGGAACAATTATCAAAACTCAAATATTCTTTAAATACTAATATAATTTTCTATAAAATAAATACCACATTTCAGTGTCGGTCTGTGACACACCGTGTCACCTTAACTTTGCAGTCCCCTTTCAAGTGGTCCATTACCTGCATAAAATTCAACCCATAGTTAGCTTAGTTTATATAATTGTCATGCTTATACTACTAAGTTTCAGAATTTCTTCATGTAAACAAGAATAGTATCATAATTTCTGGTTAAAATATGCAACGTATAGCAAATAAATAGCTGAATGATACAGTACTAATTCACCGTGTTTAAAATTGATTCAGAAGGTACAAGTCTATAAACTGTTAATTCTCAGCTCCTATCTTTGATTACTCTGGTCTCCAGTGTGTGGGAAAGCTCAGGAGAGTGGACTTTCCTAACATCTGGAGCCTGTCCACTTCTCTATAGCTCCATGGCCACTGCCCAAAACTTTGCCCTTTTCCTGTTATACCACTGACCAAGAAACTATTTTTTCTTTCCCTGAAATCCATTCCCATACAGGTATCAAACTCTTTTAAAATGTAAAGTGACAAACCCAGCATGATGGTGCATGCCTGTAATCCCAGCACTCAGGAGACTGAGGCAGGGAGATCACCAAGAGTTTGAGATCAACCTGGGCTACATAGCAAGTTCTAGGTCAGCTTGAATTAGATAGTGAAACCTTGTCTGAAAAGAACAAAACAAAATGTATGTTGAGGTTTTGTTTTTGTTTTTGTTTTGCTTAAAACTCCTGAATGTTGGGCCGGGGATTTAGCTCAGTGGTTCTGCCGCCTGCCTCACAAATGCAAGGACCCGAGTTCCATCCCCGGTACCACAAAACACAAAACAAAAATAAGGGTTAAAACCCCTGAATGTTTCCATTACATTAGAGTAAAACCGGTGCTGCTTCCCTTGGGCTACATGGCCACTAGCCCATTGTCACCTCACCAACCTTTCCAAGCCTTTCTGTTCCATCCCCAACACATCAGCCACACAGGCCAAACCGCAGCCCTGTGAAAGTGGGGTCTTCACCATTATTCTTTATTACCGAGCCCTGTTTATCTTCAGGATATGCCCTCACAGGTTTGTTTATTACCCGTCTCTACTCCAGTAGGTTGTAAGTACACCAGGACAGGGGCTGTATCTATTTGTGGCACACTTGTCTCCCCAGCACCTAAAACTGTGCTTGGTCAACAAATACCTAGGTGTGTGCAGTGCCCCAAAGAGATTTGAGCTGATGCTGGCAGCCAGTCTGCCATCCTGGCGGCATCCAGAGGAGAGGTGCTGGTCTCGAGGGCTGACCCTCAGGTCTGTCGGCAATGCATGTCCCAGCCCATGTGGTCAGGATTGCACATAGCTGCTCAGTTGCCTAACACCCTGTTTTAATTTATTTCATCAAAGAGCTTTCTAATTGTAATGTTTCCCATTTAATAAAGAGAAAGAAGGTGCTGACAGAGGACCCAGTTGCCTTGTACCTTGGCACTTGCATTTATTTGGTATCTTGATTAGTTTTACTTTGTTCATAAACTAAAACAGATTCCTTATCCATAAACCAAGCTAATTTAGTTAATAGTAGTTGCCCATAAACTAAAACTAATTCCTTGGGAATTTGAGATTAAATCAACATTCTAAAATTGAAGGGCTGATAACCGCCCCCTGCACTACAGTGACTTAACCATGTACTCGCTGCTCAGGGTTCTCAGGCAGCTAGCTGGCATCCCCTGGTAACACCTTTTGCCTGCCGTCTTGCAGACTTCTGTAGTCATGTGCTGAATACACGTGAAGACAGTGGTGGAGATAGAGCCTTAACTTAGTAATATCCCAAGCAGCCACTTGGCTATCTCGGAGCAAAGGAAGGGAGCTGGTATCGGCACTCCTCAGCTTTCCTCCCACTCTGGGACTAAGGCAGATTTCCACATGGCCACTCTGGTTGGTGTTACCAGTGGATGGTGTCATTCCCCACAGTCACCCGCACAGAGGGAAATGACAGAGTAGCTGCGCTGTTGCTGCAGAGCTCAGCAGGGCAGGCGATTGGAGCAAGAGGCTCTGGTGGAATGCCAGGAAGTGCACAGAAAACACTCTCCCAAGTGGACATGGAAGACTCTTTCAAATGTCTTGGCATTTATCTCCTGGACATTTATCTACTTGCTTACTCATGTCAACGTGTCTGTCAGGTGACGTGTTGGTACGTGAGGACTTCTCTGTCCCACTCATGCAGGTGTACTGGCACTCCAGTGCTCACATTCTTGGTGAAGCCATGGAGCTCTACTACGGAGGCCACCTGTGCTATGGTCCCCCCATTGAAAACGGATTTTACTATGACATGTTCATCGAAGACAGGTAACATCGCTGAATGCTGGCCTCTGAATGCCTGTGTTTATACTTCATCCTTTTATAATGGTTACATGTTGGGTAGTCACTGTTGGGTAATTTGACCATAAATTGGTTAACCATTTGTGAAAATTCTTTTTTAATGAGTTTAGATTCAAAGGTACTTTCCCAATGTTTTTGTTCTTTTCCCTGGAATGAATGACATGATGTACTGTTTATCTAATGTGAGACTTGCTACAACATGATACCAATTGAGAGCAGAATCACAGCTTAATTCCTAGAGAGCAGTTAATTCTGCTCCATGATAATCAAGGTGCTGTGGTAGAGGCCACACATTCCAGAGGCCTGTGCTTGAAGTCATTGGCAACTGCGCAGCCCTGTATTCCTCGTAGCTCTTAAAGGTACCACCAGCTGCTGAATTTGAAATCTTGGGCCCATGCAGTTCCCCTATACTCCTCACTATCACCCCATCTTCCAGCAGCTCAGTCTGGTTCTGTCAGTTTTGTCTCCTAAAGAGTTCTCTTGTCTTCCTCTTCCCTCACTTCTGTCTTAACTTAGATCCATGACATCTCTTGCCTAGACACATACAGTATGTTTTGCCTTTGCCTGTCACCTCCACAGTGTTTAATGACTGTAACTGAGCAAGCAGCAATCTGTAGCTACAGACTGGTCCAGTCTGAACAACTTTTACCCACAACTAAGAACTGCATTTATCTACAACACCACTGCCACCAAAGGTGTGAGGTTTTTCCATATCAACAACTGATTCACTAACTCTCTGGACACTAACTAGGTGTTCAGCAATTCAATTTAATTCTGACACCAGTTATCCAGAGTTAGCACAGACCCCACAAGCCTGCCCCAGTTTACCATGGCAGTCCCAAGTCCAGGCCTTTCATGCTTCTGACCCACCTGTTACAAGTCAGCTCCTAGGAGCCACTCTTTGGGTCCAATAACTTGTTAGAGTGGCTCACAAAACAGGAAGGGACTTTTCTTACATCTACTGGCTCTTAAAGCATGTTACAGAGGATATCCACGAACCGATAGATGGAAGAGGCACAGGGCATGGGATGTGGAATAGGGCGTGGCTCCCCAGTGGCTGCACCACCTCCTAACACCTTGATGTCTTCACCATCCTGGCAGCTTCCTGGACTCTGTTGCTTGGAGGTTTTAATGGAGGCTTAGTTACATGGGCACTGTTGAGGAAATCATTGACCACTGATGTGCAGTTAACTCAGTCTCCAGCCCCCTCCCCTCTCTGAAGGTAGGGGCTGAAAGTTCCAAACCTCTAATCATGCCTTGCCAGTGTCACCTTCCATCTGGATCTGTCAGCTCCCAGTCTCTCACTCCAGAGAATCTATCGTATCACAGTGTCATACCAGCACCATCTCTAGGTACCACAGCTCCAGGATTTGTCCTGTTCAGTCCATTTGCTCTGTCCTTGGTGCTGAGGACTGAGCGGTGATCAAGTCAGTCTGGAGCCAACAGTCAGCTGAGGGAAGACACACAGTAAACAAATGGCCATCTACAGTCACGTGGTGATGACTGTGCGAAGAAAAACACCAGGGGTGGCCAGGTGTGTGCTGTGCCAAGCAGGTGATCAGGAAAGGGCAGAGAGACAGTTAAGCAGAATGGAGGGAGGATCAGGCCCTAAGGAAACTGGGAGGGTGTTTGTGGACATCGAGGGGAGAGCGTCCCAGGCCTTGGGGTGTGTGTGGCTGATCTGAGGAATGGCATGGAACCCAGCGTGGCAGGAGAGCGTGGGCCCCAACCAGGAGTGACTGCAAGGTAACTTAGTAAGACCCTAGCGCAAAACAAAAGAAAGGGCTGAAGACGAATTAGTGCAAATGCCCTGGGTTCAATCCTTGGCACTGCCAAAAAAGAAGAAAAACTGCTGCGTGCATGAATGTTTGGCTCTCTGCAGCCCTGGTACAATAAAACACCATTGCAATTCATAAAGTGCATCAACTAGTGATGAAGGTGGTAGGACGGAGGAGAAAGGGCGACACACGCTGTGTGGAAGGCCTGGATTGATTCTTCGGGGCTCTTCTTTTTAGAGCAGTGTCCAGCACCGAGTTGGCAGCCCTGGAAAACATATGTAAAAGCATCATAAAAGAAAAGCAGCCTTTTGAAAGATTGGAAGTCAGCAAGGAAACCCTCCTGGATATGTTTAAGGTAACTTGGGAAACTCTGAAACCCTTTTAGTAGGAATGTAAAAGCAATTAACATAGACTAGATCCTCCACCACTGCAAAAAGTAGCTTCTGCTCACCACACGGTCCAATAGTCTGGTGTCCTATGTGAGGTTGTTACCAATCCCTTCCTCATGTTTCCGTCCTCATCTGTTTCCTGAAAAATTCCAAGTGGACATAGGTGAAGGGTCCGGTGTATAATTTTCATGTGTGTGTTTGTAAATCTGATTAATTTTGAGTATGATATACTAATATCTGACTACTGGGAATACTTTTTCTATCTTATAGAATGAAGTGTTATCTACTTCTAGAGTTGAGAAAGCCAATTAGCAGCATTAAACTAAAAAAGTCTAACTACTAAATTTAACAGTGTGTATAACTTCCTACAATATTGGGCATTTTCTCTTTTTAGGACAGTTCTCTGTTAATTTTATTTTCAAATTTTAACCCTGGGCTAGGCATATAGATCAGTGGTAGTGGAGCCTGCATGAGGCCCAGGGTTCAATCTCTAGCAAAGCAAAAACAAGATTGTTACCTGCAGTGAACTGTGTAAAACATTAACATTTTCTTATATGATACTGCTTTGACCAGTTTGCTTAAGTATATTCCTAGTTTTAATTTTAAATCATGCATTTCAGAGAACACATTTTAAAAGCATAATATCATAGTTTTGTGAGGTTGAATTAAAAAAAGGTTTAGTTTCAATAACAATTGCATTTGCTCTTTTTTGTATGGCAAAATATGTATAATATAACATTCACCATTTTAACAATTTTTCAGTATATATTTCTGTGGTATTAAATACATTTACATTGTGCAGCCATCACCACTATCCATCCACAGAATGCATTGCTTTGTAGAAGTAAACTACCCATTAAACACTTAACACCCCATTCTCTCCTCCGCTGCCCTGGTAACCACCATTCGAGTTTCTGTCTGTATGAATTTGACTCCTCAGGGAACCTCATCTCAGTGGAATCATTCAGTATTTGTCCTTTTGTGTAGGTTCATTTGCGTGGTAGCATGTGTCGGGGTTTCCTTCCTTTGTTAAAGCCAAGTAATACCTCTTAGTATGTACATAGCAATTTTTATTTATTCATTCATACTATGGGACTATTGTCAGTAATGATGCTTCTGAACATGGGTGTGCAAATTTTTGTACGAGATACTGATTTCATTTCTTTTAGATAAATACTCAGAGGTAGAATTGCTGGATCATATATCAACTTAAGTTTTTGAGGACCTGCCTTACTGTTTCCCAGTCCTACCAGCATTTCAGTTTTTCTGCATTCTTGCCAACATTTGTTATTTTCTGTTGATTTGTTTACAGTGACCATCCTAATGGATGTGAAGTCCTATCTCATTGAAGTTTTGACTTAGATTTCTCTAATGACTTAGTAACATGGAGCATATTTTATATGCTTTTGGCCATCTGTGTATCTTTGAATTCTTTGGAGAACGTTTTATTTAACTCCTTTGCCTATTTTCAAATGAGTTTGTTGTTGCTTTTGAGCCAGGACCTTGCTATGCTGTCTCACTGGCTTCCTGCCTCTGCTTCCTAAGCAACTGGGACTACAGGTGCACCCTGCTATTATTTTGGTTTTGAGTACCTTAGGATACTTTGAATAGCAGTGCCTCAACAAATGGATGAGTTGCAGATGTTTTCCTCCACTCTGTGGATTCTCTTTCTCTGAAGCTACTGTTATGAACTGAACACATCAGTCTTTGTGAAGGAAAATGATTGGAGTTCAATGTGTAGGCATGCAACAGTTAAATGCACAAATATGTTTTTTTCTGCCAACAGCTACTTCTTTTAAGTAGTTATTTAATATACTTTGATAATAGTCATAAAAGCAAAAAGCAAAAAGAAAAGGAAAAATTAATTAGCATTTTTAGTATCTCATTGCTTCCTGTAAACTTTTTATACAAATGAATGATCTAGCTATATCCTTGTCAGAATTTTATTTCATGTAGTTAAAATTGGATCTTCTAGAACAGTCTATACATTAGAACTATGTATAGGGAATCTACAAATTAAACCACATGTGTTATCTTAAGTTTTGTAGCAGCCACAGTTTAAAATTAAAACAAAGGTGAAATTAATTTTTAGTAGAATTTTATTTAACCCAATAAAAATTGAACCCAGTAAAACTCATTTCAACATGTAGCCCATATGAAAAAGAAGTAATGCGCCACTTTATATTTCCCTCACACACACACTGTGCCTCCCAGGTCCTCGGTGCTTTGCACTCACAGCTCATCTGAGTGTTGCTTAGCCACGCGGGATACAGGCCCGCACTAGGCTCTAGGCTACAGCTCCCTGTGTCCTTTGTGTTTCAGCACCTGGCACACAAGAGACACCCTCACTGGTTCTTGAAAAAATTAGAGTTTTTTTTCATTCACACATTTTGTGTAATAATATGTAAATGTTTTCCTTTGTAGTACAATAAGTTTAAATGCCGCATTCTGAAGGAGAAGGTCAACACTCCGACTACCACAGTTTACAGGTTTGTGTATACAAAGTTGAGTACTGCTCTATGGTAAGCTCGAAGGGTTAGCAGTAGAAGCAGACTTTGTTTTCTGAAGAGTGATTTATTTGTAAAGTTGCATAGCTGATTACTGCTTTAGTTAGGAGCCCCCAAATTTTATCACCAAGAGGAAACTCTTATTTTCTCCTTATTTTCTTATTTTCTCCTAGGAGGAAACTCTTATTTTCAGGATGGCACAGAGACTCAAATTTTATTTTTTGGGAGTCAGCTGTAGTAAGATCTTTCTCCCTGTGGGTGAGACTGTGTCAACTCAGTGCCTTACATAGAGAAAGGGCTTTCTGTTTCCTCTTTCCACATTTTTTTTCCTGATGTTACTGAGAATTGAATTCAGCACCTATGTATTAAGCTGTGTTTCTAGCTTTTATGTTTTCCTCTGAGATAGGGTCTTGGAACGCTCCTGCCTAAGCCTCCCAGGGTACTGGGATCACAGGCAAGTGCCCCATGGCTGGCTCCACGTTCGTGTTACCATAGCCGTGGGAGCCAGACGGGCCGTCTTCTTCACAGTGAGCCTCTGCCTCCCGCTGCACTTGCCATTGCCCAGTCCAGACACATCAGCCTGCATTGCTAGTAGGGCCTTCATGATGAGACTGTACGAGGGGAGGGGAGGGAAAGTGGAGGAAAAGTGGAGGAAGAAGGGTCAGATGCTAAGAGGTGAGCTTAACACCAGAATCCCTTAGTTCTGTTTGTTGAACACGAGGCTCCTGAGCCACTTGGTATTTATCAGTCTTTAAACTGCCCCAGGGGTAATTGCTGTTCCCTCTTTCTGTGTTCCTGCTGTTGGGACTTTCACGGTCCTGTGCTATCATTTATCGTTATGACAAATATTCTCCACCAGGGCATTTATTTTTTCAGTCAAATACTTACGATTTCCTGGTTTAATTGCACTGTGAGTATAGCCATGTCGCCTTTGGGTAAAGCTGTTAAAATATAATGTGAGCTTATTGCCCTTTGGCAGTGATGTGGGATACTATGTTTATCTTATTTTTTGCCACTGTGTTTGAACCTGGCAAGATTTTATTATTTTCCATCTATAATGTAAGTAAATGTTACTACTATAACCATTTTAAAGTTTAAAAATAAATGAAGATATAGAAGAGAGAGGCTGAGTTTTAAATTTCTGGCTTCTAATTTTTAAACTTTGGGGTCGAGATCAATTTTTAAAGAACTCTACTTAGGTCAGCATTAATACTTCTTTTTTGCTTTTAACATTGACACTTCTTGCTGGGTGTGGTGGTGCATGCCTATAATCCCAGCACTCGGAAGGTTGAGGCAGGAGGATCCCTGCAAATTCGAAGCCAGTTTGGGCTACATAGTTCAAGACCAGCCTGAACCACATAGTGAGACCCTGTCTCAAAAACCTGAAAAATTGACACTTTTTGTATCCTATGAATTTGAATAGCTTGTATTTAATTTTTGAGAAAAAAGTCTTTTCTTCTAAGGGATTATTTAAAGATTAGAAGACTGAAGGCTTTCATGCTGCATTGGCACTCCTTCCTTTGCTGAGTGTTAGGTAAAAGCTCCATCTCGAGGAATGGTTCAAAAGCCTGCTTGTTCAAAGAATTGACATTTTCATGTTTAGAGTATCACTTTATTTGCTAGTCTATAGCCAGTCCTTTTTTTGTATTCATTGTAATTTTTAAACTTTTTCACCAATGAACTTTAGAAATATTTCAAATTGGTTGGAATAGATAAGGCACCACTTTACTAAATTTTCCTTCAGTTGGTTAAATTTAAGTAACTTTTTGTCTTGCCTACATTATTTGTATTTTACTCTATTGATATTTTTGTACTTGAAGAAAAGTCTATGCTTATTAAGATTTGGGGATCCTTGTTCATTGTATATGCAAACAAAACCCCAGCTATAGCCCAGTGTGTTTTAATAGTGATCTTAACTCTTGTCTGAGGTTTGCATTGTAAGTCATGTTTCTTTTAATGACCTGAGGGATGATGAGACATTTCATCATAAAACCAAAGAATCTAAATCAAGCAAAGAAAACCTTAACGTTTACTTTTTTCTTTATTTTTACTTTTATTTTCTTTTGACATCCATTTTTAAACTGAATTATCCAGTTACTGTGTTGTGAGTAACTTTCAGATAATTTCAGTCTTGAAAATTAGTACAAGGGGTTTAGTTTAATTAGAGCAGCATTAGTTAATTAGAGGAATGGCTTTTTGTTTCTTGGGTTTTTTTTTTTTTTTTTTACGAGGGATTGAACTCAGGACTTTCTGCTTGCAAGGCAGGCGCGGTGCCACTGAGTTAAATCCCTGGCCCTTGGCTTTTTGATTTTATGGCAATGGAAAGTTCTTTAAGAACCTTGGGGTGTGACAGTTAAAAATGGCATCTCTATGCAGTTTCTTTCAGGTGATATATTATGGTATTTGAGTTTTAGCAAAAGAGGGAAGGCAGGAGTCTGAGGCTATGTGAATTGCCTCTCTCCTTGATCCTAAGTTAAAAATTTCTCCACCACATAGACATAAGTAAACTCTTCACTTAAAACAGGTAAGAATATGGCTATTAATGAGGAGTCCAAAAAGTTATAACTGTATCTGGGCGTGTGCCACATATTTCATTACAGGTGCGGTCCACTAATTGACCTTTGTAAAGGCCCGCATGTAAGACACACAGGAAAAATTAAAAGCATAAAGATTTTCAAGGTAAGTATTATTATTATTTTTTTTACTTATAAATACAGTAAATTTAAGGTAAACTAGAGGATAAGGGATTTCAGTCATATTGTTATAGTTTGAACATGATGCCATTTAAAAATACCTTATTCTAAAAAAAAAACCCAAAATATTCTTGGGCTGGGGATTTAGCATAGTGGTTCCACCACCTGCCTTGCAGGCACAAGGACCAGAGTTCAATCCTCGGTATCAAAAAACAAACAACCTTATTCTTACTTGATTAAAAGTAATATATTTTAGAATTTTGATAATTAGAACACTGTATGTAGCTTTTGTTCATCATTTAGCCTTACTGAAAGCACTAAAATGCATTTCTTTTTCATATGATAGTTAAGAATATTGCTGTGTGTATAGTTGGCCCTCTGTATCCATGGACTTCACTTCCCTGGATTTAACTAACTGTGTAATGAAAATATCTGAAAAAAAGATCACATCTATACTGACCATGTGCAAACTTTTTTGAGTCACTCTTTCCTAAACAATACAGTATAGCAAATCTATACATATCCTGTACTTTGTGTTATGTAATCTGGAGAGGATGTAAAGTATGCAGAGAGATGTGTGTAGGTTCTGTGCCATTTAATGTGAGGGTCTTGGGCATCCACATATTTTGGTATCCTTGGGAAGTGTGGAACTAATCCCCTACAGAAACCAAGAGACAGCTGTACTCTGGTTTTCTTGGATTGTCTAATGTGAGGAAAAACATTAGTCTACAGTAAGAATAATGTCTTGTAGGAAAAAAAAAACAAAGGGAATGAATGTGATGGTGTAGTAGAGAAAACACTGCTTTGGCAATTGAGAGGTGTATTGCTAACTTTGCAGTCTTTGCCTCTTTTGGCCTTAGTTTTCTCACAAACAGAATGTGGGGCCACATGACAGCTTTACCTCTTACGTCCTTCACACTGAGCCATAAGCCAGTGAGGCCCGTCTTCCCTTTCCTGGCATCCTGCCTCTTCTACTCCCCTCTGGGTGAGTTGCTGTTCAGCATTCCCTGTCCATCCCTCTCACTTTCGTTCCTGGAATCTACAGCAGACTCTATATAATTTACTGATTTGTAGTGTGATTTGGGCTGGCAAGGTTTAATTAGAATCAATTTCAGATTCTTCCCAGCAGTACAGAAAGTCTTCTGTAAGTTAGCAATATGGATGTTGCAGTGGAAAATTGTGTATGTAGTTAACAGGGGTTTTACATGTAACCAGATGTTTGATATGTTGATTAAAATCTTTTTTGATGTTTAGAATTCCTCAACATATTGGGAGGGCAGTCCTGAAATGGAAACATTGCAGAGGATCTATGGGATATCCTTTCCTAATAACAAAATGATGAAAACCTGGGAAAAGTTCCGAGAGGAAGCCAAGAACCGAGATCACAGGAAAATTGGGAAAGTATGCCTCACGTCCTCATTACTACCGAGACACAAGCATGCCTTTCTATTGCCTTATGATTATGTCTCATAAAACTAACTTTTTAAAATAATTTTTCTTCCGCTGCCTGCTTTGCAAGCTCAAGGATCTGAGTTTGATCCCTTGTACTAAAAAAAAAATTTTTCTTTTCTCCTGTCTTATTTTTTCTGGTAGTCATTGCCTGCTGTTGAGTTCTTTCATGCTAATGCCTTAAATTCTTCTAACCACTCTCCTTCCTATATTTTGTATAAGATTTTAAAAATTGCTCCCTTCTCTTATCATGGTATAAAAATAAAATTGTTTTTTTAAAAATTGTGTACACTTGGGAGGCAAGGCAGTGTGTAGAAAGAATGAGACTTGAAAACAGGTTTTGTTGGGTTTTTGATCTCAGTCTTGGTCCTGACCACTCCGATCTATGATGGGCCCATACCCACTTAAGGAACGCCCCGCCCCGCTGTACCTTACAGGGTGGCCTGCAGGGTTGCTGTGAGGACGGACACTGGGTGGTGGTGCCCAGTGCTAGGCAGAATCTCAGTGGGTGACAGCCAGGAGAAGGTGTAGGGAACAGGGAAGAGGACGTTACTAGGACCTCTGCAGTGAGTCCTGGTCTCCTGCGAGCCTTGGCAGCACAAGGCGAATTAACTTCTTATACAGGAAAGGCAGAAAAATGAGACTTGGAGAAGCTGAGCTGTGGGCCTGATCAGTGCTGCTCTGGGCAGCAAAGATGAAAGGCCCTGAGCTTGCCACACCTTTTATTCAGTACAAAGGGAGAAACAAATAACAGATAACTGGGGAGTGGCGGAATCCCTAGATCAATGAGGAACTATGCAGATGAAGATTTGGTTCTCACAGGGTGTCTCCTGCAGGTGTGGTCTTGCCCTGGAGCATCACAGCATCATGGGATCATTGAGGTCTCAGTTGTGACTGTAGGCCAAGGTGGAATCCTGTCTCAAAATGCCATAGCTGGCCTGTAGGCAGGAGAACTAGGCCTAATCAAATGATGTTTCCCTAAAATTATGTAGCATTGCTCCCGACAAGAATGATCATCAATACTTGAAGGAGTGAACCCTTCTGAGTTTTTGCCATGTTGTCTTGACATGAAATCCATGTCCTGAGTGCCACATAAGAAAACTAATGGTCAATAATAACAGACTCCAGAAAAATCAAGTTCATTGCTAAGTAATCATAAATATGAATTGTAATTTTACATGCTGTGTCACATGCAGTTAGGGATAAGTACTGAGGGGCTTGGAAAAGCCTGCCTGTTAGAAGATGGGAAGGTAACTGAGTATGACTTGTTTTATCCTAGTGTATTGTGTGGGTGAGAAATAGTAAGTAACAAAAGGTGAAATTTGAAATGTATTTTCGTTTCAATCTAGGAACAGGAGCTTTTCTTTTTCCATGATCTGAGTCCTGGAAGTTGTTTTTTTCTTCCTAGAGGAGCCTTCATTTATAATACACTGACGAATTTCATACGAGTAAGTGAATTTTTAAAATACTTTGTTCTTATTCAATTGTGTTTTATGATTTTCTCTCATAGTTAAATGGTGATTTCCAATGATTTTATTGTAGTAATGTAAAAAGAATTTTGAACCTAAAAATAAAATATCAATTTGTACTTTCCAATATAAACATGGAAATAATTTCTTTCCCTAAATGCATTTTTAGATTTTATATATTGTACCTAGCATCTATATAAATTAGATCTAGAGTATGTAAAATATAGAGAGAAGCCTTAGAGAAGGTGTGGATCTCCTGGTGAGACAGAAGAAAAGAAAAAATGTCTTTGGCACAAGATGCTCAGCTGTGAAGCAGGGCTTCTTGCAAGGTGGCGCCGGGGCCGCTGGTCCTCCTCTTTTGTCTGTGGAAAGACTCCCAGGTGATTTGGCAGCTTCAGAGAAGAGCAGAAAAACAACTGTGTAAAATACTTACCTGTAGTGTAAGTTTATAGATTGGAAAATCATTAGTGTTTGCATAATTAGAACTATACAGACACTGTTCAGAGGTGATCTATGTACATTACTAGGATTACATTTCCATCTTGGCCTTTCCTGTAGCTGATAGTTACAGTGATGACCACATAATGATGTTTCAGCCAGTGACAGATTGCATATATTATGGTGTTCTCATTAGATTATATTGCCAGGCAATCTTATGGTCCCATAAGATGATTTTGTTTTGGTCAACTTAGTTTGTGTAACTGCATGCTGTGATGACAGTGAAATAGCCTAATGAAACAGTTCACAGAATGTATCCCTGTCATTAAACAACACATGACTGGTCCCTAAAATTTTGGATTTCTATGTGCCTGTCACTAACTTATCCTCAGACAGTCTCTCAAAAACTTAAACTCATTGTAGCATATTCTGCAATGGTTTGTGTGTTTGCTCAGTAAGTGTTTTTTTTTTTCCTGATTTGGTCCTTTCACTCCAGAACTAACTTGATACTAAGATTCTTGTGAACGGATATCTTAGGACCTCTTTTCATCCTCATTCTGGCTACTCATTCATGTCACTCCTGTTCTGAGTCCCTTCTTTCCTGATCCCTGTTTTTCTCTTCCTTTATTCACACCTCTCACTTGAGAAAGCACTTTCTTCAGGTTTCTGAGAAAAGGGTACATGGAATGTGCTGCTTCTTGTATTTGCTTTCCTCATCTTGTTTCCCAGTATTCTCTTATTGTACTGTGCCCTGGAGCCTGACGCTGGCCCTGTGGCCTGTCACCTGCTGTATGCTTTAGGGGTTGGGCAGTATGAGGCAGTAATAAAACAGAGGGCAGAGAAGTGAGACTTGAAGTGTCACTGAAAATTGTTAGAGATTTGGGCAGGTGGTGATGACCAATCACAGCTGCTGCTTTAGATGTGCTGTCTTTGCTGGAAGATCAACACAGCCCCTGGCACCTGGAACTCTCAAGGTTCGTGGTGGAGTGGGTACAGAATAAACAGAAAGTCTTTGTGGTGGCCTTAAAGGGCTTTCTTATCTTTTATAGATGCAAGACAGACATGGCTGATGATCAGGCTCAAGGCCTGATTGTGTGGGTTGCAGATGTAAAGGCATTTAAATACACAGCCCCAGTGGTCTCTAATGCTAAGGTAAGGGCATTGGTCGGGAAGGAGTGGGTCTTTGAGGCATGGAATGAGAATATGTAGCAGATACAGACAAGGCTGAGGATTTTGAATTTCCAGATAACTTACTTGAAGAAATTGGTCTTTCCATGCATTAAAAAATGTCCAGGGACTTCAGCTGTTTTTTCTCTTGTTTTCATTTACATCTAGCAATTTTTTTATTATATGAAAATAACTGTAGAGGCTCTAATGATGTTTTCTCCCATTGGAGCTTTTAGCTCTGCCAGGATTGAAGATTGATCATTATTCTGATCAGAGATTGAGCTGGGTTAGGCTGGGCTTCCATTTTAATGAGAATCAGCCAAATTCTCTTTTATCCCTGTTCCCAGGAGGTGACCCTCTGGGGTTTCCAATTGACATGCTGATGGGTCCGTGTCTCTTCAGCCCCAGATGATTGAAGGAAAGTCAATTCTGCTCTTCTAATGTGTTCTGTTACTGAATAACACACTTTCTTTTTAAGTTTTTATTTGTATGAGTGCATGTTTGCATTCATGGTAGGGAGTTGATACATGTACATCTTAATTCTTTTTACTTCTCCTTCCCCTCCCTTCCTTCCCCCCACCCTCTGTCTCTTGGTCTCCTTCCTGTTTGCAAAAGCTCTATCTCCCTGTGTCCTATTATCTTTCATTTTGCCTTCTTCCATTAGCAGAAACGTGAGACAGGGTTCGGTTGGTCTTCTTAGTCACCAAACAGGGGAAGGTATATATATGGGGTAGATCCCCAGCAGTGCCCGACTGCCTCCTGGGCTATGGGGCAGCCTGGTATCAACAGCCTCTGGCTTGGTGCCAACAACTGGTGCGTTGAGTTGTGGCCAGAGTGGTGGTGGGGGATGTGGTGCTGAGCACAGTGGCCTATGCAGAAGCCATCTGCTCGGTGGGACCATTTTTCTCAGAACTAGAGCTGCATTTCTGCGGAAAGTCACGCAGGAGGCCAGAGTGGGCATGTTCTTCCCAACAAGAGGGAAGTTCCAAAGCTCTAGGCTAAGATTCCACTTCTACTGAACTTTGGGTGAGCTTACGTCTATATCTTTTTGCTCTATTCAGGGACTCAACAGATTGAATGATGCTCACTTACAGGGTACCCAGAAATAGTGTTTATCTGGGCACCCCTGGTGCAATCAAACCAGCACAGAAGTCACCATCACAGAAGTAAGCCGGAGTCAGACTGGGGCAGCATGCACAGTGGCAAATGCAGAAGAGCCAGCACAGGCATCCCTTGTGCCTCTCAGCACATATTTCTGTCCCTCCCTTGGATGATGACCTTTGTGTCCTCACACAGTCTCATCCACTATTGTGTCATCATGTGGTTATTTTCAGTTTACTTTCCTAAAATCTACATTGTGAGTTCAGCCACTATTGCTCATTGTGTAAGAATATGAGGAAAAGAAATAATTAGGTGGAACTGTCCCACCCCTGGCTTCTATGGGTAGACATGAGGCTTCAGCTGAAAAATCAGAGCTTCCTTCTTTTCTGTATTGGTTAGGGTTCTCTAGAGGAACAGAATCGATAGAAAATATATGTATAATTATGCAAGGGGATTTATTAGATCAGCTTCCAGGGTCAGAAGCAGGAGAGTCCATAGTAGTTGTGTGTGGGAGCAGAAGTGGAAGAATCCTCAGTGGCTGTCTGCTTGCTGGAGAGCTGGAGAATCTAGTAGCTGCTCAGCCTAAGATCAAAGCCACAGAACAAAGAGGATCAAGATGTAGCACGGTCCAAGGTCAAAGGCCTGGGAGCTCCCTGCAGAGTTGCTAGTATGAGTCTAGTTAAGGTGTTTGGCCCCTTTGTCAAAGATAAGGTAGCTAAATGTGCTAAGAGTTGTCTCTGCATCTTCTACTCCGTTCCACTAATCCTTGGGTCTGTTTTTTGCCAGTACCATGCTGTTCTTATCACAGTAGTTTTGTAGTATAGCTTCAAATCAAGGATTGTGGTGCCCCCTGTCTTGCCCTTGTTGCCCAAAATTGCTATTGCTATTCTAGGTTGTTGTGCCCAGATCGCGAAGTCCCAAAGACCACCAGGAAGCCGATTCCGATGTAAGCACACGAGGGCCATTTATTCAAGCTCGAGCAGGGGCTCCCAACCATCACCGACGCAGCGGATCAGAATTGAGAGCCCCGAATTTCAAATTAGCGGGGTTTTTATTGTGGTTACAGCAAGGTTTGGAGATTTTTCACTTAGCAGTTACATGATTGGTTGGCATTTTGCAAGCATGAAGTGTATATTTCTGATTGGCTAGGCCCATCGGGGGTTTGAGGGCCGGTTACATGTAGGTTTTATGGGGGAAAAGAGGGACAAAGGTTAGTGGTTGACTGTCACGTACTGATGGTCAGCACATTGACAGATTGTTCTATAGATAGTGGACCCGGAACGTTCATTTCCTGGGCAAACAGATGGTTGAGTAATTAACTTAGGAACTTTGCTTCGTTACAGATTGTGTCTTTTGTCCCAGAGCAAGCACATTTTAACCATTAATTTGTGAGGACAATAGAGACTAGGGGAATAATGGATTTTAGCAAAATGGAGTCGCTTTGGTCTCACAAGGTCTCTTCTGGTTCCCTATGAATTTGAGGATTGTTTTCTCTTGTTCTCTTAGGTATGCTGTTAGTATTTTGATTGAGATTGTATTAAATCTGTATAACAATTTTGGAAGTACTGCCATTTTCACTATATTGGTTCTGCCTATCCAAGAACAGGGGATATCTTTCCATCTTCTGATATCCTCTTCAATAATCTCCTTTTTTCAGAGAGCTATAGTTTTCATTGTATAAGTCTTTCACTTCCTTCGTTAGATTGATTCCTAAGTATTTAATTTTTCTTGATGCTGTTGTGAAAGGTGCAGTTTCCCTAATTCCTCTCTCAGTGAGTTTGTTATTTGTGTACAGGAAATGCTAATGATTTTTGACTGTTGACCTTGTACCCTGCTACACTGCCAAATTTGGTTATTGATTCTGTGAGTCTTTTGGTGACGTTTTTGGGATCTTCTCATAGAGTATCATATCATCAGCAAATAATGGTAAATTAACTTCTTCCTTTCCTATCCATATACCTTTTATTCTTTCTCTTGTCTAATTGCTCTGCCCAGTGTTTTCAGAACTATATTGAACAGGAGTGGTGACAGTGGACGTCCTTGTCTTCTTCCTCATGGTAGAGTGAAAGCTTTCAGTTTTTGACCGTTTAGTATGATGTTGGCTGTTGGTTTGTCATAGATGGCTTTTATCAGATTGAGATAAAGACCTATTCTAATTTTCTGTAGGGTTTTTATCATGAATGGGTGTTGGACTTTGTCGAATGTCTTTTCTGCATCTATTGAGATGATCATGTGGTTTTGTCCTTGGTTCTGTTAATGTGGTGTATTACATT